TTGTATGATTGGGGATTTTAATTCTGTAGTGGAAGTTGAGAGAGATTATAAAAGTATTAAAAAAAATAAGAAGAAAAGTGTATTACCGAGAGCCTTTTTTGACATAGTATCTGAGTTCAATCTGCGAGATATATGGAGAGAGACACATAGAACACATAAACAATATACATTTTATTCATACCCACATCAATCGTGGTCCAGGATCGATATGGCCTGGACAACAACAGAAATTCAAAATGAAATAGAAGAAGGTGAAATAGGAGTAAATGATTGGGCTGACCACAATCCGATTACATTAAAATGGAAAGGCCAGAAACAAAATAAAAGATGGACAATGAACCAAAATTTGTGTAAAGATAAAAAATATAGACAGATGTTAGAGAGGGAATTGAAAATATTTTTTCAAATAAATAAAAAGGAGGATACTTCGATACAAAACTTGTGGGACACCACAAAAGCCTATATAAGGGAATTGACCATTGCATATAATTCTAAGAAAAATAAAGAAAAGAATGCAACTAGAAAGCTTGCGGGAAGAATTTAAAAAAATAGAATATGAAGTACAAAAAGATAAATAAATAAAAAGATAAAAGAAAAATGGAATATTATGAAACATAAGATTAATTTGATAACACAGAAAGAAATAGCACAGAAAATTAGGATAGCGAAACAAAATTATTTCAAAAATGTGAATAAAACAGGCCAATGGCTAGCATACAAGTTAAGAAAAGAAAAAGGAAAGAAAATAATACAACAACTACAAGATGAAAATGGTATAATACAATGTAGACGAGAAGAAAAAAAGGAAATAATACAAAACTTCTTTGCAAAGCTTTACAAGCAGGAAAACGTAGTAGACGGGAAAGTTAAACAATATATAGAACCGGCCAAAATGAATAAAATTTCTGAAGAACAAAAAGAAATGTTAAATAGGCCAATAACAACAAATGAATTTGAAATAGCCTTGAAAAAACAAAAGAACAATAAATCACCAGGCCCAGATGGGATCCCAATTGAACTATATAAAAACCCACAAGAGGTACTACAATGGATAATGTTGGAGACGTATAAAGAGCCGATAGAAGTATCAAAAATTCTGGCAACCTGGACAGAGGCAATTATAACCCTTATACCCAAAGAAGGCACCGATATACAACAAATCCAAAATTATAGGTCAATTTCCTTGCTGAATATAGATTATAAAACATTTGCAACAATAATAGCAGAGAGATTAAAAAATTTTTTGAATAATTATATACATTCAGACCAAAACGGTTTTCTGACTGGGCGGCAAATTAAAAATAACATGAGGATAGTAATGAACGTTCTTGAATATTATGAAAGTTATTCAGAAAAGGAAGCTGCACTGGTTTCCTTGATGCCCAAAAGGCTTTTGATAATTTGAATTGGAAGTTTATTACAACACAATTAAATTATATGGAAATGGGGGAAAGATTTGAAAGAATGGTTGGAAAAATATACTCCAAACAAACAGCCAGGGTAGTTATGAATGAGGGATTGACAGAAAAAATTGATATAACAAAAGGGGTAAGGCAAGGGTGTCTTCTTTCTCCTCTTCTATTTATTCTATCACTTGAAACCCTTCTAACAAAAATCAGAGAAGATCAGGAAATAGGGGGCTTAAAAATTAGGAAGTAAGAATATAAGATTCAAGCATTAGCCGATGACATGGTATTTATTTTGGAAGATCCATTAGAAATGGGTTCTAAATTGATACAAAAGAAAGAAGAATTTGGTGAGGTAGTGGGACTTAAAATTAATAAGGATAAATCTAAATTAATTACAAAAAATCTCACAGAGTCAAGAAATTGAATTAGAGGATAAAATAAAAATGAAGACAACTAAAAAAATAAAGTATCTTGGAATTTGGCTCACAGTGAAATGTTCCTCAATTAAGGAGGACAACTATGATAAATTGATACATCAAATAAAAAAAGACTTAGGAAATTGGGAAAAGTTACAAATTTTATTTCTAGGGAGGACCGCAACAATGAAAATGAATATACTGCCGAGAATTCTATTTCTTTTCCAAGTGATACCATTAAAACTAGGGAAAACATTCTTTCAAGAATTAAATTAATTAATTTCTAAATTTATATGGCAAGGGAAAAAGCCCAGGATTAAATTAAAACTTTTGCAAGACACAAAAAATAGAGGGGGATTTGCATTACCAGAATGGGAAATTTATCATCAAACGACGAATCTAGCCTGGTTAAAAGATTGGATGGAGCCAAAAAATAACAGAGTATTAACAATAGAAGGGCATGACTTGCAAGCAGGGTGGCATGCATTCCTGTGGGACGAGAAATACAAAACGCATAAATATTTTCAAGTACACTTGATCAGGAATGCATTGCTACAGATTGGAAAAAAATAAAACAAAAACACTACACTAGAATTCCAATGTGGTTATTACCAACAGAAGCATTGATATACCCAAATTTACTGGAGAAAAATAAGATAATTACATATAAGGAATTGATAAACGATCAGGGAGATTTGAAAACGAAACAGGAACTGGAACAAGATATTGGCAGGGTTGTTGTTGTAAAATCAATAAAAAACTTTAATTAATAAATAAAATAAAATAGTGTAGGAGTATGTGGTCTGGCCAATGCCCAAGATTCCCTGTGACTCGTCTAAAGTCCCATACAAAGTCTTTTATGGGTCAATTACTTTGTTTCATCACTTTTATTATGGCTTCATTTTCATTGATCCGGTCTGGGTGTTCAAATCTGGCCCCAAGCAGCTCAACAAAACCATCGGCATCATTTAGTTCCCTCATTGTGCAGCTGGGCTATCCACTCAGCAGCATCCCCTTCATTCATCCCATCAGAAATCGCAGATACTAAGTCTCTATCTTTTTTGTATTGCTCTCCATACTGATCTATATGAGCCCCAATTCAGCTGAGGAAGTAAGCCAGTTTGGTGGGCTTACCATCAAATGTTGCTCTAAACCGGGGTGACGGTTGCCTCGCTGGTGGGATGGCATGGGTGGTGGGGCTGGGACCTGCTGGTGCGCAACGATGGGCAGTGGGGCAAGTACCAGCGGCTGAGCTGGAACCTGCAACGGGGCTGTGGCTGGTTACTGGACTGCGGCCAGAGGCGGGACAGGAGCCAACTGCTGTGCTGCTTGTTGGATTGCAGAGGGGGCAGAGCTCCAGCTGGCTGATGGATTAGCCCCCACTGATGTGCCGGGATCATTGAGACATGTTGGGCCCATGGTAATCCCTGAAAAATTGAAGCAGAAGGTGCTGGTTTCATTGGTACTGGACCCACCCCTGGCCGGGATAGAATGCAGCTGGTAGTGGTGGCGGTCCCCATGCCGGCTGCGTCTGCTGTCTCCCTCCTGCTGCTTGGTCTGACTGCGTCAAGCCGCCCCTCCAGTCATCCCTGGCTGGATAGAAGGATGCCTGCGCCATGCTAGTGTTGTGGCCTGTCAGCGGCCTGTGCAGCTAGTAGCTGATTCTGACACTGAGAAGGCTGGTGTGGTGCTGCGTCAGCAGCCTGTGCAGCTGGCACTCGAGTCAGACAGTGAGGAGGCTGGAGAAGATGTGGTGCCAGAGGCGGGGATTCAGCCAGGGCCTTCAGAACCTCCAGAAGCTCCCATAAGTGAAGAGGAAGAAGAGAAGGAGCCTCTTCTCGATGCATGAGCACGTAGAGCTGTTAAAAGGCAGGAGTGGCTCCTCAGGAGGAGGTCTCCTCGAGAGTAAGGCTTGGGGCTAATTGGCCACTCCCCTAGCCTATTTAAGGAAGGACGACAACTGATGCAATTTGTAGGAAACAACTTCGTTCATATTCCTTCGCATCTTGATTCCAGATACATTCAATGGCTCACACCACTTCTTCAGAAAGAGAATTGATAAATCTTGATAAGTCTTGATAAATCCTCCGGTATCTGTCCCCACGGCTCCCTCGGTGGTCTCCTCTTTCTCCTCCATCTTCGCTGTGTCTTTGCACCACTTGAATTTTAGGTCGATGCTGGGGCTCAGCACCCTGGACAACCCCCTTTCAGGGTGCTGTTATGATTTTAGAGACTCAGGTTAATGTCAGTGTTCCAGAAAAACCCAACTCCAATTAAAAACTCAGAGGCAAGCATTTTCTCAAAGTTCCATTTATTAGAGTAGGCATACTGGCACATCTGGGAAAATCCGAATCGGAGAGTTCCGGGTTTTCCCTCAGTAAATCAAAATCCCTAAAACCAACCCCTGACTCATCAGTCCATCACATGAACCACCATCCGTCCCATCTCGAGACATCATTCCAACCACTCCTCCTCCAGATGCAGGATTGTCTTGACCTTGACCAAAAGGAAGAATGCTATTTTGTTTAACTACATTCCCTCTACTAAATCCCCCCCTCCTACTTTCCCACACACAAGAAGATGGCAGCGTGGAAGCTTCCGGTCTCATATGGCTTCCAAAGCTGACATCTGCCTTTTCAGTTTTTGAGATTTTTTTGCATTGGGAGAAAAAAACCTAAATATACATTTTTACAGATATCATTCAGGTTTATTTTAAAGCATAAACATAGGTTTTGTCCCTGTAGCTTAATATAATTAACCCTGTGATGGAACATGTTTGTAAGCACTACTTTTATCTTTTAAAAAACATGCAATTCTTAAAATTTTGAAAGTAATTATGAAACCACATTAATGTATATATCATTTTATCTAAATTGATAAACAAGTATATAGGTATAGTAATATCATCTATTTTTCCTGAAGATAGTTGTGTGTTTAGTGTTGATTCATATGTCACTCAGCTATAACTAGTTTATCAAGTCAAGACGTTTTTCTGGGATTATCTCCTATATTCAGTGTAAGCAAAAATATATTAAATAATATAAGTAATAAATAGTGCTTTAAGAATGCTCAGTATTATACAAAGTAAAAATACTTGGGATTGCATTAAAATGTGAATTTTTTCTGTATCTTTCCTTTTTGTGCTGCTGTTGGTCTGTCCCCTGAATCATACTAGCTCGAGGTAGTCGCATTCCTCGACCTAGTGTGAGTCAGGGATGCAGTCGGGAAGCCAGTCGGGAAAGTAGCAGGGATACAAGCCCTGTCCGCTCTTTTGCACCCCTTGGTAAGTACATGGAGAGCTTATTATGCATGGTTGTTTGCTTCTGATTATCTGCTAATATAAGATGAAGTAAAAATAACAAGTAAATATTTTTCTGTATAAAAGAACTGATTTGCCTACTTTGGCTGAAGAATTTATTCATCTGAAGAGCTTAAAAATTTCCTGTAGAATTTTAAGAGTAATTGCACAATCCAAAGGCACATGCATAAGTATTTCTAAAGTTTTGTCGCATACATCAGTAATTTCTTCAATATATATGTTTCTGATTAATTTTTATTAAACTGAAAATAATTTTAGCAGAAAATCTGTCAAATCTCAAATTCAAGTTTCGAAGTTCTTGTTAAATGCAGGGGAATGAAATTTGATGGGAAAAACTAATGATAGTCACTCACCTCAACTGTACACTGAGGTGTAGGTATATTTTTCGTTTCTATGGTGCATAATTTTATTCATTACTTTTTTCTGTAACGTATTACATTTGTTTTCATTTTTCTCTAAATATTAGATTTGTTTTGATTTGATCTCTGCTTAATATTTTAGATAATTGTTTAATGTAAAAGTCATTATTCATATGATTATAGTGATGGCAGTGAAGATTCAAAGGACCTTGTATTTTGCTACCATGCAGAACTTGATGGCTTAGTCACTCAAAAAAATTATATAAATTTTTGAAAAAGATCAGACTGTAATTCTTATCAGGTTATTTTATGTCATATTGTTGCCATATAATGACAAATAACATAATCACATAACAGGAATAGAAGAATGATTAGTAATTTGAATATTTTTAATCATACTACTTAATGGGCAAATCTTACATAGGCAATTCAAAATCTGTATTTCATTTTATGATTCTGGCACGCTTTCCAGTGTTCATTCTTTTGAAAATGTAACATTCTAACCTGTTAACTGGCTCTTTACATCGTAAAGAGTAAATTGACTTGAGTTTCTGATTTCTAATGAAATCAGATGAGTACTGAATTAACAAAAATATTCTTCCTTGTAGTTATATTTTAATGTAACAAGTTTAAGTGTTATTAATTAAAGCTATCAATATTTCTTTTTTTAAAAAATCCATAGTTTTTTACATCTTTTTCAGGAAAGATTTTTCAGGAAAAAAAGGCTTACAGCAGGTTTAAAATACTATTTTAAAGCATCATGTTTTGTGTGTGAAATCCATCAGTACAATGGCACTGCTTGATACCTGCTTATGAACTTATTTTAATTAACATCTCAAGATTTAGTTGCTTTTAATTCAGAAAAAATAACATTTAGTGTTTCTTTCTAATAAAAAGATACATAGAATCATAGGAATTGAATATACGACTATACATGTGCACACATAAAAATATAACGTTTGTTTTATATGCATCTGTTAATTTTGACTGCAGCAGATTGTAATTTAAACAATGAAAAATAGTCACTGTGCTTCTGCTACCCTTGTTTTAATCAATTACGGCTAAATTGTTTTTATGATTTGCAAGATATACGATGAATTAAATCACATTAATTATGTATGTTATATCGCAAAATTTGAATCAATGCATTTTTATTTCAATATACTTTACAAATTTAACAAGAACTTCAATAATATTGTCTGTAAATTTCTAAGGTGAACAGCTGTCCTATATCCTTAGCTTCTGCAGTGTCTGCAATGAAGTGAATATTACTTAGAAACACTTAAACTAAATAAAAATTATAATAGTATTTTAACAACCAAGAATATGATTTCATGCCAAAATTTAAAACTGATTATTTCCAATTCCTGCATCTTCTTTATAAAATTATAAATTGCTTTGCACTTTATTAATCTTTTTAGGGTATAAGCAAGACTAGAAATGCTTTCTATAGGTAGTTCTTGACTTACAACCACAGTTGGGACTGGAACTTCCATTGCTAAATAAGGTGGTCATTGAGTTCAGCTGAGTTTACAGCCTTTTTTTTACCATGATCATTAAGTAAATTTGGCTTCCACTTCACTTGTTGGAAACCTTCACTTGTTGGGAAGGTTGCAGATGGTATAGAAATATAATAAATAATAATGGTGAGCATGTGATCCCAGGATACTGCAACCATTGTAATTACATGCCAGTTTTTATCACATGACCACAGGGGTGCAGTAGTCATAAGTGTGAGAACTGGTCATGAGTCACTTTTTTCAATTCTGTCATAATTGCAAACAGCTAACAAACAGATGGGTGTAAGTCAGTGGTGGGTTCCTCCCAGTTCCGCCGAGCCGGTAGCGGTGACAATATGATGTCACCGAACTGGTTCTGTCACCACCCCCACCCCCGTGTTATTCTTACCTTTTATTTGGCCCCACCCCCAATCTATTGCTGCCTCCTGAGTCCCAGCTGATGGCTAGAGGGAAAAAAACTGTTTAAACTCTTGCCGTGGGGCTTCAAAGGGCTGCCCTACAGCTGATCAATGTTAAAAGAAAACAAATGAGTAGACCAGTGCCTTCAAAAATACATGAGTAGATCAGTGCCTGCAAAAATATATGAGTAGATCAGTGCCTGCAAAAATACATGAGTAGATCAGTGCCTGCAAAAATACATGAGTAAATCAGTGCCTGCAAAAATAAATGGGTAGATCGGTACCTCTGCTAAATCCTAAATAATTGTCACATGACCATCAAGCCATGCCCACAAAATAAGCCACGCCCACAGAACCGGTAGTAAAAAAATTTAGAACCCACCCCTGGCATAAGTCAAGGAGTAGTCTGGGGTTTTTTATAAAATAGTTCCAAGTGATATGTTCTGGATAGATGAAATATTACCATAGACAACCAGGAGAACTTAGACAAGACTGTTACACTCTAGTTTTTCATTCAGTAGCCACAAGAATATGTGAAATGATAGTACCCACTTAATCACCTACATGCCACTTAATCTATATATAAAGTAGCTAAGGAGCTAATTTTTAATTCTAAAAAATCACATGTATTTCATCGCTTTGATTCATTTTGTGTGTAAATTGGCTGGTAGATGCAATCCCCATTGACCGAACCTTCTAAACCAGTTCTTGCATTCCACCTGCTTCAAAGGTGTGAACAATCCCTGCCCAGAATGGTCATTTCAAGCTTGTAGCATTTTGCAATATAATTTAGCTTAGCTGAGCTGAAAAGTTTGGAAGGATAAGACGTGGCTAGCATTGGACTGTGAAGAAAGCTAGGATCTAGCCAAATAAGGTAGGAGAGATAAATTCTTCATTAATCCTGTAGCAATGAGTTCCATATTCTTGTCAGAAAAACAACATAGCGGTGCCCATAGGACTTTTACCTTTTGTCTTCCTTGTAGTTTGATCAATTACTACAGCTTTGATATCTTAGTAAATCCAATGAGAGAAATAATTATCTTTCCATCCCCAACATCACTTACAGTCTCCTTTGCATCCACTTCAAATAATCACAGAGTCCTGTAAATATATTTATTTCAGCCACTAGCCTGATGTTGCCACTAACAGTATTTCTGAACAATTTTCAGTAGCACAGTTCTGAATATACCGTGGCAGAATTTGGACACAAGTGGTTGACCATAGGAGCTATAAGTTGTTTTAGATGTTCCACAACAAAGACTCATTGTAATTTCACCCTTGGTTACTATTCACTATGTGAATCAGTCTCCAGAGACAGGCTGATTTCTCACTATGCCTAGAACTTGCTTCATTGCTCTCTCTGCAGTTTTCCTGTTCTGTATTATTATAATAACAGAGAGGGTTCATATGGTCCTGTTATTATAGCTTCCAGGCATCACTCCAGATCTACTGGTGCTCTCTACTCTCCAGATGTTTATGGGGCTACAGGTGAAGGATGAGTACTCTTTCCTATCATTTGTGCCATCATTCTGGATTAATTTTTACAATATTTGGTTTCCCATATTGTCTATTTTTATTGTTTTCTACATTAGCTTGTATTCATAATTTTGGGATAATTGAAGTATGTGAAACAATGCTTTCATTCCATATACCCTAAACTTTTTCTCCTCCTAATTTAAGGTGAATGTTGCCTTTTTTTGTTTCATTCTTTATTTCTAAAGCTTTATTAATGCATGTTTCTTTTACATTCACAAAGATACAGCTTATATTGACCAAGTTCCTTAATATGGTTCTTAATTTCTAAACCAGTAAAGACCAGACTGAACACATTTTAATAGGAGATTTATATAAGTTGTCAGTCTTTGAGTTCCTGTATAATTATGCTATCGATAGAATTTTGTTTTGATATTATAGAAGCTACAGAAAATAATTGTAAAATAACATGCATTTACATTTGCATTTAAGTATCAACATTACAGTGCAATTCAATTTTATCAGAAAATTTTGGGAACTCAATTTGGTAAACATGGTTCTTTTCAGGGAGGACAAGGAGAAAATGATGACACATAGCTGACTTCATCATGCAAATGCTATAAGTTATATACTTAAATTGGATATTAGAAATTAGTATTAGATCAAACTTTCTTTGCAGTTTTTACTATAGCAAATCCTTAAAAATGTCATTTTCACCTTTTCCAAAGGTACTTTGGAAAAACCTAAGGAAAATTTTATCTGCAGATACAATTGCTTGATATGCATGTATTAACATTGTCTAGATTAGAGCCTATTACACTTCCTTGATTTAATAAATCAAATGTCATCTGGGATTAGTAGTAAGGAACCAAAAGGGATAGAATTTATATATTTCAGATATTTGTTCCTTTCCAAATAAATATTATATTTCCATTTTTTAAAACAATATATTAAACTTTCTAAGTCAAGTCAAATTAATTAATTTAATTAATTAATTGTTTCTTTATGCTGTTTATTTCAGGTTTTGGAATTAGTCAATCAAGCCGATTGTCTTCATCAGTTAGTGCCATGCGTGTCTTAAACACAGGCTCAGATGTTGAAGAAGCAGTAGCAGATGCTTTGGTATGTTTTTGTGGGGATAACAAAGTAGGATTTTTATTTTCTTATGCTTTATTATATTATTGTCTAATTTAATTATTGATTCTGCCAAGTTAAATGATGCTCCTTTCCTAATAAATGTTAGTCCATATCTTTTTTCTTTATATAAACATATTTTTCTTAAGCCTATATGTTCTCTGAAACCCAGGCTAACTTGTCTTCTACCTGTTTTATAAGATAAAAGATAATGTCTTGCATGTAAATGTGTTGTATTCTGTGATACTGATGTGAGAGAGGATTATGCATAATTTTGCAGAGAGTAGTGTTAGCTACACCTATTATTACTTTAAAACAAATATAAATACAAATCACTGGCTGAGAAATCCAGCTGAGTTAATAAAATAATATTTTAATTAGGTATCATGACACATGTCGCCTTTATAAGCCCTACTTCACATCTCAGTTTTTTTCCACTCTGCTCTTTGATCTCACAGTAATAATCTGATGGCTTCAACAGGAATTCAATTTATATCAAAATTGAATTCTTGTGCTGTAAATCATATCTCCCTCTCCCTCCCTCTCCCTCTCTTTCTCTGTGTGTATTTTGATTCTACCTGCTTAGCATATTTGCTAACAAGCTATTCAATGTTTATATTCATAACATTTGTTTTTTCTATAATGCTCTCAGCTGTTAGGAGACATTCGGACAAAGGTATAACTATTATTGTTTTCCTATTAATATTTATTTATTTATATATATATATATCCTAAACTTTATAATATATAAACAAAACACTATTTTGATAAATAGGCTTTATATTCTGCATACATGTTTTAAATTACCAAAAGATTCTAAATAGGTTTATATTGTAAATGTAAATTAAATTTAAGTAAATTCCAGATATTTGTCTGTATGTTTTTTTTTAAAGTAATGCAGCCCCAGCAGGACAAGCTATAATGTGAAATCACTAGAACATCTGCTGTGTTTTATCTCACCTATAGCAGTTATAATAATGACTGGGGAGAATGTAATTTTAATTAGATCTTTAGTTTAAATATTTCCTTTTGCAGTTAAATAACAATAAGCATTTCCTCATTTTAGTGATGTCTGAAGATAGTAGTAGGATCTGGAAAATTGAACATCTGAACTGACTGATAAAAGGAGCTTATTTTGCCATTGTTTATCTTATGATTTTTTCCTGTATAATAGAAAAAGCCAGTTCGAAGGAGGTATGAATCTTATGGAATGTACTCTGATGATGATGCTAACAGTGATGCTTCCAGTGCCTGCTCAGAAAGATCCTATAGCTCACGAAATGGCACAATACCCACCTACATGCGACAGACAGAAGATGTCGCTGAGGTCCTTAACCGCTGTGCAAGTTCCAACTGGTCAGAGAGAAAAGAAGGTCTTCTTGGTCTACAAAATTTATTAAAAAATCAGAGGACATTAAGGTAAGAAATTTATTTTCATTGTACTCAGATATAAAAGTATTACTTTTAATAGTGCACATTTTAGTCTCAATCTTATTAGTTGCTTTCAGTAGAAAACATATATTTATAATCTTAAATTATATTTATAAGACCACCTAACTCTAGATGACTTCAGGCAGCAAACAATAAAAATCAAGAATAAAAGCAATCAGAAAAAAATGGTTAATGTGAAGATACTTTCTGTAATCAATCTCATATATGCACCATCCTAGAGGAGTTCTGCACTCACCAAAACATGGGAGAAGAACCAGTTCTTCAAGGAGGAGTGGAGAGATCATTCAGACCTCTATGTGCTGTTCCAGAGAGCATGCATTATTACAGAAAAGCATGCTTATAGACCATAGGTGGAGGGAGGGATCAATAATAGCAAACTGAAAAGTAGTCAGAGTGATCTGACCATGACAGAACTGGCAGTAATGTATCCCAGCTGCAAATCTCTTGTCCTAAGACAAAAACTATATCCAATGTGCAATCTTTGGTGTGTCAGACCATTACCCTCCACCTTCCTTGGCCAAGGAATCAATCCAACAACCACCCACACAGCTACAATCACAGCTGCTCTTGCTGTCAGACACTCAGCAGTTCAGTGTTCCATAATGCCACAAGTATCCAGAGTTAGTGCAAGTTCAACCCATTCCAGTTTTACACAACAACTCCTAGTCTCAATCTATAGTGGCTTTCCAATCTAATAATCCAATCAGCTAAACCACAGGTCATTTAAGAAATTGTTTCATAAAGTCCACGGGTGAAATCCAAAATGAGAGTCTGGACCTGGCTGTGAGAGATGTATGTCTGGACTATTGTAACGCTCTCTACATGGGGCTCCCCTTGAAGAGCACCCGGAGGCTCCAACTGGTCCAGAATGCGGCCACGCGGGTAATTATGTAACACCGCTCCTGCGCAAGCTTTACTGGCTCCCGGTGGTCTTCTGGGTGCAATTCAAGGTGTTGGTTGCCACCTTTAAAGCGCTCCATGGCATGGGCCCTGGGTATCTACAAGACCACCTTCTGCCACCGATAGCCTCCCATTGACCGGTATGCTCCCACAGAGAGGGGTTCCTCCGGGTGCCGTCAGCTAGACAATGCCAGCTGACGACCCCCAGGGGGAGAGCATTCTCTGTGGGGGCCCCTACCCTCTGGAATGAGCTGCCCCCGGAGAATTCGTAGGATTACTGACCTGCGTACCTTTCGCCGTGCCATAAAAAAATTACTATTCCAACAAGCAGGGCTGGCCTAAATAATAATAATATTTTTACTATTTTAATGGGTTGTTTTATTAGAATTTTCGGCCAATTGATTTAATTGTTTTAACTTGTTTTTAATTTTTCTATTGTCATAGTTTTATTTCTGGCTGTACACTGCCCTGAGTCCTTCGGGAGAAGGGCAGTATAGAAATTTAATAAAATAAATAAATAAATATATATATATATGTCCGGACAGCTGCAGGAGTCGGCAGTAACAGAAAAAATTATCTAAATACTTGCACTTTACCCTAAGCTTAATTTTTATACAGATATGATTTTCAGGGAAATTGAGGAATCTAAAACACATGCACAGATTTCACTCATTGTGATATTTAAGTTCAGAAAAAAATTAAATAACAATAAAGTATGTTTTCCTAAGCTTGACTGCCATGTTGAAAGGATTCAGATAAGCACAGAGAAGAAGAGAAGAACAAACTATCTTGTGTTTAGTGCTGTGCAGATGAGAGATTGCTTGAGTGATGGTAGTTTGGTAGACAAAACAAATTCAATACCCTCACTCTCTGCAACCTCCAAATGGCACTATATGTAGAATGATTATCTTACAATCTGTACTCAAAGGCATTGTTACATTATTTTTTTAAGCTCCTGTCAGAAAGTCACTTAATACAGTATTAAAGTTTGTATTAAAGCAGGAATGTATTTCAGTCCATTGTTTTTGAAGCAATCAAGACAATTAATATAATACACATAATTATTATAATTACATAATTACTCAAATTATATAAATGCATCATAAATTACATCAATTAGGTAAATTTGCATTTAACAGACACTCGGATCCAAAGGATATCCCATGTCTCCAAGTAGTCCATAAAATTGAACTTTTCACAGAGACAGGATCTAAGAAGATTTTCAGAACAAAAATGTTAGACAAGGAAAATGAAGCTATTACAAACACAGATGTTAACTTTCAATCCTGGGAAAGGGGATGAAGTAATTGTACTACCCAAGCCTTTAAGAAACATTTATTGATCTAAGTATTACATACATTTTCTGAAATAAGCTAATTCAAATGCATAATTACATTTCAAATGTTCATTGTATTCCATGTTCAATCTATTATACTTAACATAGCCATGAATTTTGACTCATAACATTTTTCACAGCAGTAATTGTGTCATGGGATTTAATCCATATAGTCCATGGAATTGAAGAATGTTACAGTTCAAAATCACCTCTGATAGCAAGAGTCAGAAGATATACTCATTTAAATTTGGCCTCTTTCTTAAAGTAGATTTGTGTATTGCAAAACAACTAGCTCAGTTTGCTTCATTTTTAAAAAAAATGGACATTACTTACTATATTCACTTGAAGGAAGACTGATTAGCCCTTTTGCAAATAAATTATTTGTAGGATTATTTTGTGGCCATCAAACAAAAGCAGATATTCTTGAAAGCAAGGGAATGAGAGAGGACAAAAGCAGCTTTTAGGTCCTGTGTATACAAAAATACTGAAAGTCAAAAGGATTCCCAAACACTACTCTATATAATAGCCTTATAAGTCTAGTTTTTTTACCTTTGAGAAGAGTGCAAGATCTCAATAAAATCTATATGTCTCATTCTCTCCCACACCTGTACAAGGCAGTCAATACAAAATAGTAGGATGGTTTCTTCATCCTTTTTATTTGTATATGCAGGCAGAATTAATACAAGGCAGCAGCAGTTGCTTAAAATGAACCTTACATAACACGAAACACTCAACTATCAGTCAGATATTTGCCTATTCAGACATAGAGAATTCATTGCATTAAGGCGGGTATTATCAGTAACTTAAATTTTTACAGAAGTGTGATTTTTTCTGGTTTAGTCTTAGACTTTCGTTAAATAATGGAATTGGATGCCAAGAGTCAGAGTAGGAAAAGCCTGTACCAGGAAATAGCTGATTTGTTTTAACAATACCCTGTTTTCCCCAAAATAAGACATCCCCTGATAATAAGTCCTATTAGGCTTTTGAGTGCATGGCAATAAGGCCAAGCACTTATTTCAGGGTTCAAAAAAATATAAGATAGGGTCTTATTGTCAGGAAAACACCGTACTATCATTTGCAACTGTTATTCACATGACCCAGTTTTCTCTATTTTCTGAGGTAAAAATAAGAATCCATTCTGAATTCTCTTCAGGAAGGGTCTTGATAGCTCAGGGACAGCATGGATGGAAAGAACAATGAGGCTCTTTATGTGACTTATCAAAAATTACTGAAGGAATAACTATTTCTATTGTATTAAGGGTACCTCATAACGACTTTACAAAGGGGAAAATGAGATTTAAAAAGCAATTTTTAGACAAGTATTGATACTCCTCAACTTACCATCATTTGTTTAGCCACTATTTAAATAGTCATAAGTGAACAGTGATTTATAGCCAGTTCCCGCACTTACAATTATCACAGCACATGATCAAAATTTGAATATATGGCAACTAGCATGTATTTGTGACAATTACAGCATCCCAAAGTCATGTGATCTCCATTTGTGACCTTCCCAGCCAGTTTCCAATGAACAAAGCCAATGGGGAAGCCAGATTTGCTTAACGACAGTGGCTCATTTAACAACTGCAGTAATTTGCTTAACAATTATGCTAAAAAAGCTCATAAAAATCACTTGATTTACTTGACAACCACCTGAGCAATAAAACTATGGTTCCAGTTATGGTTATAAGTCAAGGACTACCTGTAAAATGGCTTAAGAGGGCATATATGATAAATGTTTGCGGTGCTGACCCTGAAATAAAGCTTTTTTCTTTCAAAACAATAAGGGCATCCACTTATTCCATGCTGTCATTTTCCTTAAGGACATATGTGATAAAACATCAGTCCAACTCATATTTTCTGCAGAATCTTCTTTTAAGATTAGAATTAGAATATTCTCTATATACCGTGTTTTCCCCAAAATACGACCTACTCAGAAAGTAAGTCCTAGCTTGATTTTTACATATGCGCCCAATATAAGCCCTACCCACCCCCAAAATTGCTTAGCGCATTGTAAGCCACCCTGAGTCTCTGGAGAAGGGCGGCATATAAATCAAATTAAAAAAAAAAAGCCCTAATTAAGACCCCGCCCACTCCAGGGTGCACAGATAAAAATTAAGCTGGGGGGTGCACTACTACTTACCTTCAGATAGTTGCAACCAGGCCTCACAACCTTGGCTCATTTCTTTTGCTACAGGTGGCAAGGCTTTCCTGAAGGCCTTTCTAGCCGATAATAGAGCTCCAGATCGATCCAGAGCTCTGTTATTAGCTGCTGAGGCCTTCAGGAAAGCCTTACTGGCCTTGCCAGACGAAGAAGTTCCTGAAGACCTTTGATAGCGAAAAAGAGGCTGGAGGTGATGCGCACAAGTAAGGTGAGTCAGTGGACAATTTCCCCCCAAAAAATAAGATGTGGTGCCTTTTTTGATGGCAAAATATAAGATGGTCTTATTTTCGGGAAAACATGGTAGGTAAAACAGGGCAATGTATTATTAAAAATTCTTTGGATTTTATGAGATCATCAACAAATTATATTTTTAAAAAATGGAATTGCAAACATTTTAAAGTAAATTAGGACATAGATTTTTTGAAGTTCTTCACATCCCTCTGAAGTTTTACTAAAGTAATATTTTATCATTTTGGCAGTCGTGTTGAATTAAAAAGATTGTGTGAAATCTTCACGAGGATGTTTGCTGATCCTCATAGCAAGGTATGTATTTCCATTTTATTATTTACTAGGCATTATATAGATTAAAATTCTAAAAGCTTTATTATTGGTGTGGCTTCACTCACAAAGCTAAATGATAAGATATAGGCCCATGGATTTCAAGTATTGATGTTCTTCTCCAATTACACAAGTCCAGGATTCCTAAATGCAAGATAGGACCTCACCAGATTCAGATAATTCTTGCTTAGAGACCAGTCACTTAATGACTGTTTCAAGTTACAATGGACTTTAAAAAAACCTCATTACAGCTCATTCCCAAAATCACAACCACTGCCACAGTCACCCACCCCTTGGTCACATAATTGCTTTTGGGGCATTTGGCAACCAGCTCAATTGAGAATCATTTGCAGCATCTTGCAGTCATGTGGCTGTGTTTTTTCTCCAGCAAAATTTGAGGAGAATAGATTTTTTAATTTACTAAATGACTATAGTGACTCACTTTATAATCGTTGCAAAATCAAATCAGATCACAGAGTGATCTATTTAACTACCACATGATTTACTGACTAAAATTCGAAGCCCATTTGAAGTTGTTAAGTGAGGACTACCTATACATAGTGTGGACCTTACTTCACATTTAATTCACATCCATAAATCTAATGTAGAAACCTCAGAAGTGCTTAACTTATTATTCAAGTTATCTGTAATGTATGGGCAAATAATGTTTTCCCTTAAGTAGCAGTGGCTTGAGACTCCGGAAAGCATTTTGTTAAACCATTAAGATATATATATATATACCTTTGAATCATTTTGTTGTCTTTTTCAGGCCTTTATTCAATCCAGTTCTTCATTTCTTTTTTCTTTCCCCTATTTTTAGAGTCTTCTAATTTCTTTTTAATATACAAAATGGATGTTTTCTTTGTCTTGTTTTGTCTCTGTGTAACATTGAGAATGAAGCATCTGCTGAAGAAAGAAACAAAAAAACCCAGTATCTTTTGGCCAAGCCAAGAAGAGAATCACTTAGTGAGTCTTTTAGGGAGAATGCAGATATTAGTGGAACAATCAATAACTCCAAGCCCAATTATGTGATATTTAGCAGAAGTCATAATATCAGTATTGGGGCATTTCAAGCTTTCTGTTCTCCTGCAGCAAGCCAACCCATTGGTTTGTGTACTTATCAAATAAAAATTGCAAAAGGAGGGGCTTGTGTTAGTCTGTTAGTCTGTGGTAGCCAAATTTTAGGCAGAATTTGGTAGCAAACACCTTTCCAACTAGCAAATGTAGTAAAATGAGCTGTAACTGTGCACGTGATGCTTGTTCTGACCCGGCTCCCAAACACTACAACTACGCTATTTGTAACTAAACGTTCCCTTTATTAGGAGTGCTAGCAACCCCGGCAAAGTGTCTCTCTCTCACAGCAGGCTAACGAAGTCTCCAAGTGCCTGTGGAAAGCAAAGCTTGCTCCCTTTCCCCTGAAATGATTTCGATGCACTAGGAGTCTCTCTCTGTCTCACCACAAGCGTAACAGAAGTCCTGGAAGGTGCGCTCACTCTTTTCCCAGCAATAGACACCCACACACACACTTTGAAGGCGCGCCCAATTCTCAGTGCCTTAGAATTCCGATACAGTTCCAGACAGGATTCAGAAGTTTGGACTATCAGTGGCTGACTGACAGGAAGACCAATAGTTGTCTGCCACACCTGTTCATCTCCACCCCCTGCCTTTTATCCCCAGAGCTAGGGTGGTGCTTAGCTAGCAGCGGTGGCTCTTCCATCCCGATGACCAGTCCATAGAGTCCCGCTGCTCTCCTCTGCCATCCGCACATCAGGCATGGGACCCAGCTGTTCCTCCTCTTCCTCATCAGCAATCTCCGGACCTGGGGACAATTGACTAATGGACAGCCAAGGCTCCACCTCTGTCTCTATCTCTCTCAGTTCCAGTCCCTCTTCCCCCTCAGAGCTCTCAGATTGCCTTGATGCTGGCCCTGATTCCCACTCTGCCTCAGCTGCTGGAGGGCCAGCGACTGACAAGCCACAACAATGTGACGCATCTAATGAAGTGAGCTACAGCTCATGAAAGGTTATGCCTTTTAATAACATGTAGTAATCAGAAAATCAGTAATTCCAGACTGTTTTGCACATCAAGTACAAATTGAAATTATTTCTTTCACCCACCATCACACGGCAGTAAAGAGCTATTCTCTCTCTCTCTCTCTCTCTCACACACACACACGTGTTAGATTTGATCAACAACTGAACACAAGGCACACGTGCTTCCAGTTAAAAATTAGATGTTCCTCTTTCCACATATTACCAATATATTCCCACTTTTCAGACTTAGAGGAAAGTAGAGGCTATTAAGAGCAGGATTAAACAAACAGCCTTGTAGTCTTTTTTTTTTTCATTGCCCAACTAATTGGGGAGTAAAATTAATTATTTGATCTATATTTCCTAGCCTCTGGGGAGAAAATATTAAATCCTAAATAATAACTAGGTAAATACTAGATTTTGGAAATTGAATCAATTATATTTACTAATGGCTCTGTTTTCATTTAAGAATTTATAGCCATTTTTTTTTCTTCAGATAAAGGTTTGCCTCAGAGGGAACATTGTTCTCCAACTGTTTGTAAGCCACCCAGAGTTGCTGCAACAGTGAGATGGACTGCATATTATCATAATCATAAGTTTATTTGTCGAGTATATATATGATAACAGGTAAAAGTATAAACATAATTTGAATACATGAAAAGAGTAAGTAAAAAGGAATATTAGGACAGGGATAGTAGGCATGCTGGTGTACTTATGCACGCCCCTTACAGACCTCTTAGGAATGGGGTGAGGGAAACAGTAGACAGTTTAAGGTTAAAGTTTTGGGGGTTTGGAGAAGAAACTACAGAGTCAGGTAGTGCATTCCAGGCATTGACCACTCTGTTACTGAAGTCATATTTTCTGCAATCAAGTTTGGAGCAGTTTACCTTGAGTTTGTATCTGTTATTAGCTCGAGTATTGTTGTGGTTGAAGCTGAAGTAGTCATTGACAGGAAGGACATTGTGGCAGATAATTTTATGTACTATGCTTAGGTCAGACTGAAGTTGGTGTAGTTCTAAGTTGTCTAAACCTAAAATTTGGAGTCTGGTGGCATAAGGTATTTTATTGCAGTTAGAGGAATGGAGGACTCTTCTCATAAAATATCTCTGGACTCTCGATTGTATTTATGTCCGATATGCAGTATGGGTTCCAGACAGATGAGCTGTATTCAAGAATTTTGACCACTTGTTGTCTGTTTGACAGGAAGGCAGCTATCCATTTATGTAGGAGTCCAGAAATGCCATAGGATTTTAGTTTTATAAGTAATTTGTTGTGTACCACTGAATCAAAAGCTTTACAGAAGTCTATGTAAACTGCGTCTATTGCTTTACCCTGGTCAAGATGTGTGGTCCATATGTTTTTACAATGTAGTAGTTGTAGATTACAGGATAATTTTTTCGGAAACCAAATTGTTTGTAGGAAAGTAGGTTGTTTGTCTCTAGGTGTAGTGTAATAGATTGATTAATGATTGATTCCATGACTTTGCAGGTGACGCAACATAAAGAGATTGGTCTGTAATTTTCAACTAGGCTAGGGTCTCCCTTTTTGAAGATAGGTATGACCTTGGCTTGTGACTATTGGTAGGGCAAGGTGCTGGTACTGAAAGATTTTTCAAAAATTATGCTTAGAGGTTCTGCAATTGCAGTGGAAAGATTTTTTAAGAAGTATGCACATAGTCCATCAGGTCCAATAGATAGAGATGGTTGTAGATTGTGTATTGCCTTTTCAACATTGTCTTCTGTAAAATCAATATGTATAAGATCATCGTAATCGTTGTAATTATCTGTAGTACGACTGGGAAATATGGGTATGTGTTGTTGCTGTTTACAAAGACTGAGCCGAAGAACGTGTTAAAGAGATTGGCTTTAACTGTTTCATCAATACAGTCTTCATTGTTTGGTCCTTTTAGAGGTGGGATGGATCTCGAGTCTTTAAGTTTGTTTTTTACAAAATTATAGAAGGCAAGGGTGGATTTTGTGCATAGAAGGTTTTCTTCTTGCTTGATGCGATAATTGGTGCATTCAGTCTTTATTTGTTGGCATAAGTTTTTGTAGTGGTTTTTGAAGTTAGCTACGTTGTTAGTTTTGTTTTTTCGCCAAAGAGATTTTTGTCTGGATTGTAATTTCCTTATTGTTATTGGTAGTTTATTTTTTCTGGTTTTGTGGGATGTTAGTGGTACGTAAAGTTTAATGATTCTTTTGACTTCGCGCAAAAAAACGCTGTAATGGTCATCAGCAATATTACAACCAGAAAATAGAATTTGCCAATCAAGAGATGAGAGTTCATTGTCTATGAGATCACAGTTGGCTTTTTTAAAGTTATAACTGGGAATCCCATCATTATGATGATTTTTGAGAGGGTGTAAATTGAGACAAAAGTCAATCATGCTGTGGTTGCTGTTGGAGAATAGTTCTTTTATTTGTAGTCCATAAGTTGAATTTAAACTGTTGCAGAAGATGAGATCAAGGCAGTTGATCAAGTCCCAGATTAGTTACAGTATTGTACAGGATTGCATGTATAGGTTCAGTTGTACATTCATTTAGGGTCCAATTAATAAATGGTAAGTTAAGGTCACCAAGAAAGATTATTGGGTGTGGGCAGGAGGCTGTCCAGGTTAGTAGTGAAGTTAACTTGTTTGCATGTTCAATGTCGTAATCTGGGGCTCTGAAACAAAGTAAGAATCGAAATGTGGTATTTAAGGACAGGTCGCAGATGATGGTCTCAGGAAGAGCAGGTTTGCATGTAACTTGAATATTTTTTAGATGTAAGGACTTTTTGTAGAAGATAGCAACATCACCTGCTCTACGGATTTCATGATCTGACCAGTAAACATGATAGTCTCTTATTGTAGTAATGGAGTCAGGGAGGGATGTATTCAGCCATGTTTCACAGACAAATATAATGTCGCATATAGCCGTATTCAGTAAGAGGAGGAATTCAGGTATTTTATTTACA